ACGATGCACACATTTGAGGCAAAATCGTCCTCTTCAAATCTTCAGGGTTTAGGGTTTACGAAGGAGAATTGTCTTGGTAAACCCTCTAGGGTGTTTTTGATGGTCGAAATGGGTTAGGGGGGGTCGACATGACGCGAAATTGACAGTCGTGTCGACATCGTTACTCAATTTTGCGCTGGGGCAACTATTTTTTTCCGGTCAGCCCGAAAAAAAAAATATGGGGTGCGTCCTGCGTTTCTGCGTCTGGACGCTGCGTCCAGACGCAGCACGCAGCAGGACGCGTGCATCTTTCTCCACTCAGCTGTGAAGGGTGCTGGGCGGCATCGTGAGCTCCAACACGCCCCAGGGGCTGTTCATAGGGGGATTCCTCTCCATGTCGTCTACTGCCGTGGTGCTGAAATGTCTGATGGATATCAACAGCATGGGCACTGAGCATGGGCAGGTACGGTGATTCAGAGAGTGGGTATGAGGAGCCTACACAACTTGTTCCCTAGGGGCTGTTCATAGGGGGTTTTCTCTCCTTGTCATCAACTGCCGTGGTGCTCAAGTGTCTGATGGACATCAACAGCATGGGCTCCGAGCATGGGCAGGCATGGCAGCATGGGCAGACAGATCAGACTGTGGTTCTGTGGGGAAGGTCTTTTACTGGCAATACTGCCGGCCCATGCTGCCCAGCCTGCCACCTTGCCAGCCCTCCAAACTTCTTCCTGATTCTTCCTGCCTTTGCCTCTTATCCTGGCTCCTCACCTGCATTTATGTCCCTCGTCTCGTCTTCCTCCCTTCCCCCCTGTCCCCTGTCTCTCCCATTTCCACCCCACCGGTTTCCATACTCCTTTTGTTCCTCCAACACTCCCCTTCCCCTCCACTGCATCAGATCATGCTCGGGACTCTTATTTCACAGGACTGTGCCCTCGGCCTGCTCCTTGCAATAATGCCGGCGCTCGCCGCCCGCCCCGCCTCCGCCTCCGCCATCCTGCTCGCCCTGCTGCGAGAGCTCCTAATCCTCCTCGCCTTCGCTCTCATCGCCTGCCTGCCCGCTCAGTGGATCCTCGCTCGGTGGCGTTTGAGTCGACTCAATAGCCTGGCTGCTAGCGCGCTTCTTTGGGCAATTCCCCCCCCACTCCCCCTACTCCTTTCCAACACGCCATTTCCCCCCCCACTCCCCCTACTCCTTTCCAACACCCCATTTCCCCCCCCACTCCCCCTACTCCTTTCCAACACGCCATTTCCCCCCCCACTCCCCCTACTCCTTTCCAACACCCCATTTCCCCCCCCACTCCCCTCTCCCCTCTCAGATCATGCTCGGAACCCTCATCAGTCAAGACTGTGCCCTCGGCCTCCTCCTCGCAATAATGCCGGCGCTCGCCGCCCGCCCCGCCTCAGCCTCCGCCATCCTGCTCGCCCTGCTGCGAGAGCTCCTGATCCTCCTCGCCTTCGCCCTCATTGCCTGGCTGCTCGCGCGCTTCTTTGTGCCCCGCTTCCTCCCGCTGCTGCTGCGCCTGGCGCGCGGGTCGTTCAACAGCGAAATCTATCACTTAGGCGTGGTGGCGGTGTGCCTGTGCGTCGCTCTGCTCTCTGAAGGGCTTGGTCTGTCGCTGGAGGTCGGGGCGTTTGTCGCTGGCCTCATGCTCTCAGGTGAGACCTCTCTCCCCCCTACTTCTGCTGTTACTGCTACTGCTGCTGCTGCCTCCTCCCCCTCCCGCTGCTGCTGCGCCTGGCGCGCGGGTCGTTCAACAGCGAAATTTACCACTTAGGCGTGGTGATGGTGTGCCTGTGCGTCGCACTGCTTTCCGAGGGGCTCGGACTGTCACTTGAAGTGGGAGCTTTTTGGGCTGGCCTCATGCTCTCAGGTGAGACCTCTCTCCTCTCCTCCACACCATACCACTCTACTCATAGAGAGGCTCTTTAACTTTTTTCTTCGTAAAATTCTATTCCCTAATCTCTTCCTCTTCCTCTCCTCCCGTCCTCTCCCCCTGCCCTGCAGGCAACAGCTACAGCGAGCGCACTTTACACCAAGTGGAGCCCATCCGTAACCTCTTTCCAGCGCTCTTCCTGGCGAGCAGATGCAGTGCAAGCCATGTCCCTCTCATCCCTCCACCCCAACTCCCCACCTCCAGGCAACAGCTACAGCGAGCGAACGCTACACCAAGTGGAGCCCATCCGCAACCTCTTTGCAGCGCTGTTCCTGGCGAGCATAGGCATGGTCATGCACCCGCTCTTCCTCTGGCAGCACATCGACATCCTCCTCATTGCTGTGGCGGTCGTGTTTGTCTCCAAGGCCTGCCTTGTGGGCTTCGTGGTGAGTGGTGGTGATTGGGGAGTGCTGCTGAGGGGTGGCGAGCGGTGATGAGGGATGGTGAGGGGTGTGAGGAGGTGTTCTTCAGAATATCTTAATCTTTTCAAGAGATCTTCTCCACGGACCAAATCTGTCTTTGTCCCCTCCCAAACCAACCAGGTTCGGGCGTTCGGCTACAGCACCGGCACGGCAGCATCAGTCGGAGTGGCCCTCGCTCAGATCGGAGAGTTCTCCTTTGTGCTGCTCTCCCGCGCTCAAACACTCAAGCTGGTCGGCCACAAGCTCTACCTCCTCCTCATGGGCACCACCGCGCTCTCCCTCGTGCTCACCCCCTTCACCTTCCTCTTCGTCCCTCGCCTCGCCCTACTCTTCCCCTCCACTCGCTCCCGGCCCCGAGCTAAGGCGTCCGCGTCCCCCGCCCCTGCTGCTGCACAGGAGAAGGTTAAATCGGGGTATGGGATCAAATCGGCGGCAGTGAATGGGGTGGGCGGGGAGGATGGTGGTGGTGGGGGTGGTGGCGGTGGCGGGTTGTTGGGTGTTTTGTCTGGTAGTGGGGGAGGTGGTTCTGGTGGAGGCGGCGGTGGTGGGAACCCTGGTGGGGGTAGTGGTGATGGTTACCACCACCATGCGAGTCCGTTAACCGGGATTTCCCCTAGAGACGCAGCAGCAGCAGATTCAGGTGATTCTTCAGCTGTTGTTTCAGGTGGCGTTTTGTCTTATCTGCTGCGCCAGGTGCAGCCACGCACCCGCAACGCTGCTAAAGCTGCAGGAACCTCAGGTGGTGGTGGTGCTGCTGCTGCTGCTGCTGCTGCTGCTGCTGCTGGTGCTGCTGGTGGTACTGCTGCTGCTGCTGCTGCTGCTTCCAATAAAAGTGACGGGGTATCAACAACGCAGTCTGGGTTCGGTCGAGCGCTAAGTGTTGGTGGCAGCAGCACTACTCTCACAGCAACCAGCAGTGGAACAAACAGCAGTGTAACAGTTGCCAGTGCAAGCATAGGGCGGAGCAGCAGCAGCCGCACGGAAAGAGAATACAGGGATAGAGATTGGGAGCGAGACAGGGACAGGGATAAAGCATCCGCTGCGGCTGCAGCAGCAGCAGCAGTAACAGAGGCTCTCAATCGAGCTGGGGGAGGAGCAGCAGCAGGGGGAGCAGCAGCAACAACAGGATTTGCGACAGAAGCATCCTCCTCCTCGTCCTCCTCCTCCTATCCTCACGCCCTCGTCTCCCCAACGTCAATATCACCCGGTATAAGCCCACCCAGCGTAATCACACCCGGTGCAAAACCTCCCGCCCAACGCCCCTGGGGCTCCCCTAGAAACGCACAGAGGCTGTTGGGAAAAACAGTGTCAGGGAAAGGCCTGGTGCAGAGTCCCAAGGTGGTCGGACAAAGCCCGAAGGTCTCAAGTCGGACTCCCAAGACTGGAACCCAGAGTCCGAAATTGGCTTCACTTGGGGAAAACGCGCAGGTGACGAGTCCTACAAAGGGATTGAGAGAGGTTGGGAGGGGTGCGGGGGCAGGGGGGACGGGTGGGGGGATGGGGGAGACTGGGGTAGGGAGGTCACAGCAGGGGGGGAAGCAGGAGGGGCAGCACTGGGGGCAACAGCAGGGGCAGCAGCAGGAGCAGCAATGGGGGCAACAGGGGGGAGAAATGGAGGATGGGGATCAGCGAGGGGGCTATAGGTTCTCCACAGCTTCGTTTTTCACAAGGTGGAATCAGAAATCACCCAGGGAGCATGGACCGTGAGAGACTGGAGTTGAGTCTTACCGGTACCAGGTACGGTAGTTGTTGCACTGGCCTGTTTCTGTTACGGGTATGATGGCTTGCGGGGATTTTTGTGGTGTGCTTCGATATGGCGTATAGCCCTCTTGCATACGAGTGACTTGGGATGAGCTGGTTATTTCTCAGCATTTCCTACATTTATTTTTTCAGCACAGGAATGGTGCATCTCAGCTCAGCAACATGGAATATTCACTCAACTGTGACGGGCTATTGTATACAGAGTCTGAACTGGATCCTCAGCATCGCTCGCTGTAGATGTTTCAATATAGATTCCATCGCAAGGGATTCCATCGCTTGTTACTACATTGGCTAGATCACGCACACACAAGCAAAATGCAGGGGGAAAACGAAACAGCTGCATACTACATATCTGGGACGCAAAGGATTAGGCTACCGTGCAATCAGCCTCCTTCTACTGTATCCCACCCCCCCTCCCCACTCCCTCCCCCCTCCCTCCCACCTTCCCGCATCTCCAGCCTTCGTCTCCCATCCCGCCACACTCCTTCTTGGCAGCAACAATCACGGACAAAGATAAAACACCATGCGTGTGTGTGTGCGTGTAGAAACACCTTCATGGTAACTTGGTAACCAGCGCAGCCCTTGCAGCTCAAGCCCCTGCTGCAGCCACCACCTCCGCCACCCCTGGCTTTCTCTCCCTCACCACAATCCTGAGTGGCTTAGCCAGAGCCATGGTAACCCTGTAACTGTGCAGTGCAACCAGCTCAACCCAGATAAACCCCATGCAGCACCCCATGCAGCACCCCATGCAGCACCCCATGGGCCATACAGCACCCCTTGCAGCACCCCATACAGCACCCCATGCACCACCCCATGCAGCACCCCATGCAGCACCCCATGCAGCACCCCTTGCAGCACCCCTTGCAGCACCCCATACAGCACCCCTTGCAGCACCCCTTGCAGCTCATGCTCCTGAAGCAGCAACCACCGCCCCTGCCACTGCCTTTCTCTCCCTCACCACAATCCGAAGTGGCTTTGCCAGAGCCATGGTCAGCCCAAAAGTTTCTGTCATGTCCACTCCTCCAGCTGCCCTAGCATCTTCGGGCAGCTTGAAATCAAACCGCAAAACGAAATTTGCCAGAAGGCGGGCAGACAGATCCAACCCCAGGTTCGTGCCAAGGCACCCACGCCTGCCCGAGCCAAAGGGCAGCAGGCTGAAGTTTTGCCCGGTCACGTCAGGGGCAGCAGGGTCAAGGAACCTAGAGGGGTCAAATTCATGTGGGTTGATCCAGACCGTTGGATCGTGTGCAAGAGCCCAAGCATTGATCTGGATCATGGTGTTGGGAGGGATCTGGTAACCCCCTAAAGTTACACTGTCAGTTGTCAGGTGAGGAATGAGGAATGGAGCGACAGGGTGATGCCTAAGTGTTTCTTTTAAAACAGCCTGCAGGTACGGCATTTCCGTTACCGGAAGAGAGACCATGAGATCAGATCCTCCTGCTGGAGCCACCCCAGTTTCTGCCGCTGCACTTGCTGACATGGCATAAGCCTCATCCACCTCAGCGCGGAGCCTTTCCAGCATGTCCGGGTGCTGTGCCAGCTCAGCAAGCGCCCATTCCACGGTCTTAGAAGTGGTATCGGTCCCGGCCATCATCATGTCAACTGCGAGCATCAGAATCTCGTCTTTATCCATCTCATCCTCTCCCTCCCCTTCGAACAACACGTCAACGAGTGCAGTCTCGTTCCCTTCGTTTGAGGAACATTCCTTCTGCAGCACGATCCGCCGTCGCTCCTCAATGCACGCGCGCATGAAGCCGTGCAGCTGCGGCGCGAGGCGCTTCGCGCGCGCGTACATGCGCTGTGGGTCCAAGTAGCTCAGCAAAGGGACGTAATCCGCGATATTGAATGCTCCTGCGACTGCAAAACCCTCCTCAATAATCGAAAATGCCACTTCTCCTTCCACTTTGTCCTCTGTCGGGGGGGATAGTTCTTCTTCTGCCGCTGCCGCCGGAGCCTCAGACCCAACAGCCGGAGCTGCGGCAGCCGCGTCGGCGGTGCCGCGGACCCCGCCCCCACGTTTCTCACCGCTCATTGCGGCGATGCGTTCGTTCCAGTCGATGCGCATCGCGGCGTCGAGAATCGCCTTTGGCGTGGTGCCGGCCGCGCCGCGAATCGACGAATAGCCGAAGCGCTTCCCGACAGCAAGGCGGAGAATGTTGTTCAGCGTAGCGCGGTTCAGATACCTTCGCACCTCGATCCCCTCCTCTGCAGCGGTGGCAGATTTCGTGGCACCGGCAGCAGCACAGCTACTAACAGAACTAGTAGCATCCGTTTTAGTCAGATCTGCAGCAGCTACGTCAGCAGAGATCGCGTCGAGCATGTCGCGAATCTCCCCCTCTCGCACGGGAAGGCTCTCCTGCAGTTTCTTCGCAGAGAGAAGGTTGAGCGTCGCCAGCCGTCGCATCTTTCGCAAATGTTCGTTGGCTGGTGAAAACGCGATGTTTTTGCCGTCGAGAGTGAGCATCGCCACGGTGGGAGGAAGCGGACGTGACGAGCAAAGCCTATCCTTCGTTTTAAGCACCTCTCGAGCGAGTTCCGGCGACGAAATTACTACTGAAGGCGTGGAACCGAACCAGACGGTCAGGATCGGGCCGTGACTGTCGGCCAGCTTCGCGAGGGAGCGGAAAGGTAGCGGTCCCAGGTCCGGGAGGTTGCCGAGGATGGGCCATGGGGAAGGGCCGGGGGGGAGGGAGCGACGGCGGCGGAGGAATGAAAGCCATGAAGTCGAAATGAGAACCGCGATGGCTGCGATCACGGCTGTGATGATAAAATGCGAGTCGGCTGATACCAGACTTGAAAAATCGACTCGGCTTGAAGAGGTTGGGCCAGGGAAAAGCTGCTGGGTCGAGTTGAATTTGCTAGAAGACCATCCTGTGCCAGGAAATGCATCAGCGGCAGCCATTGCGGCAGAACTTGCTCGCCTGGTATGAGAACTCAGAAAAGTGTGAGAAATCTGAGGCTGAATCAGTACTTGGCAGCTGCAAGAAAGAAAGCTAAGCTATATCTGGAGACACTCTGAAGAGTTGAGAGAAAAGCAAGTCGTGGTGTGGTGCGGGGATAGCAAACGTGCGGCGCATTTTATATGTGGCAATCTTAGTGAAGCCATTTCCATTTGCCCTGGGACTGCGCGCCGCGTCCTGAATTCAAGATTGCAGGATTGAAGGCTGGGCAATGCCGAACCGCAAATTGCAACGATGACGAGGTGACCAGTTTCGCACGCAAGGGTAGTTTCGTTCGCATGAATTGTTCCCTGCTGGACAGGGCAAGCTTGCTTGACTAGACGAGAAAGACGAAAACCGTCGTTACGAGAAGCTGAGTTAAGCGACACTTTCGTGGAAGAAATGTGTCCGTTTTCGCCGACCGCCTGTGTACTGCTTTCAGCACATTCGTTTAGAAATTGCACACCGATGGGGGAATGAGTAATAGTGACAAGCAATATAAATTGGTGAGTTTTTTATGCTCTCCAACTGAGCTTCTGGACTCATGTGCTCACAACACAGGATTGTGGGTTGATGTATCTTTATCACAGTATCACTGTCAGTCTTAGAAACAAATCAAACAAGAAAACACGTACACACATATAAGTATATATTGTAGAACCTGCTGCAGTGGAAGAAAGAGCACACACACACACATAAAAATAGAACCCAAGATGCATGAAGCAAGCCCTTGACAGGTTGCAGAGAAGGCTTGAATGAAACCTGGAATGTATGTGCCATTACCGCCTTTCCCTCCCTTCATCTCCCTGCCTTTCTTGAAGGTATGCGCGAAGCTCTTTTGAATAATCCAGCTCAAGCCGCTGCACCCACCGGAACTCCCACGCCCACTACTCCCACTGGAACTCCCACTGCACCCGCTGGAAGTCCTCTGCACCCACTGGAACTCCCACTGCACCCACTGAAACTCCCCTGCACCCACTGGAACTCCCACATCACACACTGGAACTCCCACTGCACACACTGGAACTCCCACTGCACCCACTGAAACTCCCCCTGCACCCACTGGAACTTCCCTGCACCGGCTGGAACCCCCCTGCACCCACTGGAACCCCCCTGCACCCACCACACTCCTGAGAGGCCTTTCTATCCATTCCTCTGCCTGCCTCCCTGTCCTAAATCGTATGTGCGAAGCAAAGCACGTTTGAGATTTAGGTAGCTCACGCTCCTGCAGTCACCACTGTAGACCCCACTGCCGCCCTCCCAACAGCCCCCACCACTGCCTTTCTCTCCCTCACCACAAGCCTGAGTGGCTTTGCCAGAGCCATGGTCAACCCAAAAGTTTCCGTCATGTCCACTCCTCCAGCTGCCTTAACATCTTCGGGCAGCTCAAAATCAAACCGCAGAACAAAATTCGCCAGCAGGCGGGCAGAGAGGTCCAATCCCATATTCGTCCCAAGGCACCCGCGCCTGCCCGAACCAAAGGGCAGCAGGCTGAAATTTTGCCCGGTCATGCCAGGGGCAGCAGGGTCAAGGAACCGGGAGGGGTCAAATTTGTGCGGGTTGATCCAGACCGTTGGATCGTGCGCGAGATCCCAGCCATTGATCTGGATCATGGTGTTGGGAGGGATGTGGTACCCACCTAGAGTTACGCTGCCAGTTGTTATGTGGGGACCGAGGAGCGGAGCAACTGGATGATGCCTAAGTGTTTCTTTTAAGATGGCCTGCAGGTATGCCATTTCCGCTACTGGAAGAGAAGCCATGAGATCAGATCCTTCTCCTGAAGCCACCCCACTTTCGGCGGCTGCACTTGCTGACCTGGAATACGCCGCATCCACCTCAGCACGGAGCCTTTCCAGCATGTCAGGGTGCTGTGCCAGCTCAGCAAGCGCCCATTCCACGGTCTTGGCGGTGGTATCAGTGCCCGCCATCATCATATCAATCGCGAGCAGCAGCATCTCGTCTTTATCCACTTTATCCTCCCCCTCCCCTTCAATCTCGAACAGAGCATCTACAAGGGCCGAGTCCTCCGGCTTTTCGCGTCCCCCTGACCGCGTTTTTAGCAGGAGATGGCGTCGCTCCGCGATGCAAGCGCGCATCAACCCGTGCTGTTGCGGCACGAGGCGCTTCGTGCGCGCGTATATGTGCTGCGGGTCGAGGTAGCTCAGCCACGGCACAAAATCCGCGATATTGAATGTCCCCGCAAGAGCAAAGCCCTCCTCTATTATCGCGAGCGCTATATTTCCGTCCGCTTCTTGCATTGAACGCGATGAGTTCGTCTTAGCACCATTAGTACCACTATCCGCCTTCTCTGCATGTGAGGATAGTAGCTTGGAGCTATCTTGTTCTGCTGCTGCCGAAGCCTCAGACCCCATGGCTGGAGATGCAGCCGCGTCGGCGACAGCGCCGGGTCGAATCTCACCGCCGTGTTTCTCGCCGCCCATTGCGGCGATGCACGCGTTCCAGTCGATGCACATCCCCGCGTCGAGAAGCGCCTTTGTCGTGGTGCTCGCCGCGCCGCGAACCGACGAATAACCGAAACGCTTACCGACAGTCACGCGCATAATGTTGTTGAGCGTCGCACGATTTAGATACCTTCGCACTTCTACTATGCTCCCCTCTTCTGCCACGGCCGCAGACTTCGCGGTTCCTCCCGTAGTAGTAGCACCCGTTTTAGTCACGTCCGAGGTACTAGTTGTTGCGTCAGCAGCAGCTTCGTCAGCAGTACTAGCCACGTCAGCGGCGAGCATGTCAGCAGCGATCGCATCGAGCATGTCGCGAACCTCCTCCTCTCGCACGAGAAGGCTCTCCTGCAGTTTCTTCGCAGACAGAAGGTGGAGCGTCGACAGCCGTCGCAACTTTCGCCAACGTTCGTTAGGTGGCGAAAACACGATGTTTTTGCCGTTAAGTGAGAGAATCGCCAATGTTTGATTCATAGGCCGAGACGAGCAGAGTTTATCATTCGTTCTAAGCACCTCGCGAGCCAGCTCTGGCGACGAGATGACCACTGACGGCGTTGAACCGTACCAGACGGTTAGGATCGGGCCGTACCTGTCCGCCAACTTCGTGAAGGAGCGGAAAGGCAGCAGTCCCAGGTCCGGGAGATTGCCGAAGATGGGCCATGGGGAAGGGCCGGGGGGCAGGGAGCGACGTCGGCGGAGGAAGGAGAGCCAGGAAGTGGAAACGACAACCGCGACGGCAGCGACGACGGCTGTGATGACGAAATGCGAGTCAGCTAGTACTACTAAGCTTGAAGAGTCGAGGAGGCGTGAGGCAGAGCGAAAGACTTCGCTAGATGCCGTCAAATTTGGAGAAAGACGCTGGACGGTGCTAATTCCGCTGTCAAACCAGCCTGTCCCAGGAAGCGTATCACCAGCAGCCATTCCGGGTGAACAGAATCCCAGCTACAACCGTGCTGGAAACTCAGGCCTAAGTGATCGAGGCAATCAGTACCTTCCCGCACAATCGAGGATAGCGAGATGGAAAGGGGTTCGTGCAGTCACGATAAATGTGCGAACCTATAAATTGAGGGCAGGCCGAACCGCGCGAATAACAAATGTGTCTGGACTTCGGGGAGTGCGGCGCACGTTCATGCGGTTCGGTAGAGGTATAGATCCACCGTTTTCAACGTGCAAACGCGCCGCGTTTGGAGAGCTGGAAATGCGTGGACCCAGGAGATTCAAATTTGGGCGATGCCACATGGCAACGTGCAGCTGTCGTGACCGTGTTTGCACGCAATGAGCAGTTAACCAGTTTCGCACGCAATGGCAGGATCGTTCGCATGAATAGGCTTCATGTTGGACAGGTGAAGCAAGCCTGGCTAGGCGAAAAACGAAGGCCATCGTTTCTCGACGATGAGTTTAGCGAGAAACGTTCGTGGAGGCACCAGGTGAAATCGTGAAACGTTCGACAATTCGCACACAGCAAATTCGTTTAGAAATCGCAAGTAAAAGGTGTTAGAAACAAGATGGATTATTCAGTGGAACCAATAGAAACAAAAACACAATTGACTTGAAATAGATACTCACAAACGCACACCCAATAGTATCTAGCAAGAAATGCATGCAAACACAAGGATAGGTGGTACCCAAGAATAAGTGAGCAAACTGATTGCTTTCTGCACACTCAAAAAGGACGCCTGCCAACTCCTTTTCATACTCTCAAGACCTTCTCCAATGTCTTGAGTGAGAACAAAGTTACTTCACCTGCGTCCATTTCCACTCCTGTAGCACAAGTCGAAGAGGCAGCGCCCAAGTAATACCAGAGTCCTCTCCCAAATCAGCGTCAACTCCACCAGCAGCCAACACGTCTTCGGCTACCTTAAAATCAAATCGCAAACATAATGCTTGCCACCATACACGCTGAAAGGTCCAGTCCCAGATTCATAATTGCACACACACGCCTCCCCGAACTGGAGGGCAGCACGTCAAAATTCTGCCCTGTATCATGAGCAGATGGGCCAAAAAAACTGCTAGGATCACACTCATGGGGGTTGTTCCAACCGTTGGATCAAGAGCGAGACCCCAGGCATTGATGGTGCGTCCGTTAGTAGCAACTCTGGCAGATTCAGATGAGGGATGAGGAGCAGTACTGTGGGGTGGAGCCGCAGAGTTTTAAGTGGCTCCATTATAGGCGACTCCTCCTCATCCTCCTCCTCCCCCTCACCACTGCCTTAGACAGCTAGTAACTCCATAAATCCACAACCATCTCAACCCCTCATGTAGCACCCCTTGCAGCTCATGCTCCTGAAGCAGAAACCACCGCCCCTGCATTTCTCTCCCTCACCACAATCCTCAGCGGTTTAGCCAGAGCCATGGTCAGCCCAAAAATTTATGCCATGTCCAGCCCCCCAGCTGCCCTCACATCTTCGGGCAGCTTGAAATCAAACCGTCGAACGAAATTCGCCAGCAGGCGGGCAGACAGGTCCAATCCCAGGTTCGTCCCCAGGCACCCACGCCTGCCTGAACCGAAGGGCAGCAGGCTGAAATTCTGCCCGGTCACGTCAGGGGCTTCAGGAACAAGGAACCTGGAGGGATCAAATTTGTGCGAGTTGATCCAGACCGTTGGATCGTGGGAGAGAGCCCAGCCGTTGATTTGAATCATGGTGTTGGGAGGAATGTGGTAATCCCCTATAGTTATGCTGCCAGTTGTCTGGTGGGGAACGAGGAACGGAGCGACAGGGTAATGTCTAAGTGTTTCTTTGATAACAGCCTGCAGATACGGCATTTCTGCAACCGGAAGGGAGACCGGACGATCAGAACCTCCTGCTGCAGCCACCCCAGCTTCCGCGGCTGCCCTTGCTGACCTGGCATAAGCTTCATCCACCTCAGCGCGGAGCATTTCCAGCATGTCGGGGTGCTGTGCCAGCTCAGCAAGCGCCCACTCCACGTTCTTGGCGGTGGTATCAGTCCCAGCCATCATCATATCAATCGCCAGCATCAGCATCTCGTCTTGATTCATCTGATCCTCCCCCTCCCCTTCAATCTCGAACAACGTATCGACAAGAGTGGTTTCTTCCTCCAGAGTCACGTTGCCTTCGTTTGTGGAACATTTTTTTTGCAGCAAGAGTTGGCGTCGTTCCGCGATGCACGCGCCCATGAGCCCGAACAGCTGCGGCGCGAGGCGCAGCGCGCGCGCGTACATGCGCAGCGGGTCCCAGTAGCTCAGCCACGGCACGTAATCCGCGAGATTGAATGCCCCCGCAAGTGCAAAACCCTCTTCGATTATTGCAAACGCCACCTCTCCTTCCGTCGCCTCCGTTGGAGATGATAAGTTAGTCTTAGCAGTACGACATTCCATTTCAGCCGCTGCCGAAGCGTCAGAACCGGTAGCTGGAGCTGCGGCCGCGTCAGCAGCGGCGTCACGTCGAATCTCGCCGCCGCATTTCTCGCCGCTCATTGCGGCGATGCGCGCGTTCCAATCGATGCGCATCGCGGCGTCGAGAAGCGCCTTCGGCGTGGCGCTCGCCGCGCCGCGAATCGACGAATAGCCGAAGCGCTTCCCGACGGTGATGCGCATAATATTGTTGAGCGTCGCGCGGCTTAAATACCTTCGCACTTCTATGATCCCCTCTTCCGCCACGGCGGCAGATTTTGCGGTTCCTCCAGTAGTAGCAGCAACCGTTTTAGTCACATCCGAAGGATTAGTTATTGCGTCAGCAGCGATCGCATCGAGCATGTCACGAACCTCCTCCTCTCGCACGAGAAGGCTCTCCTGCAGTTTCTTCGCAGACAGAAGGTGAAGCGTCGCCAGCCGTCGCAACTTTCGCCAACGGTCGTTGGGCTGCGAAAACACTATATTTTTCCCGCCGAGAGAGAAAATCTCCAATGTGCGAATCATTGGGCGGGACGAGCAGAGCTTGTCATTCGTTTTAAGCACCTCAAGAGCCAGCTCCGGCGACGAAATCACCACTGACGGCGAGGAACCGAACCAAACGGTCAGGATCGGACCGTACTCGTCGGCCAGCTTCGCTAGGGAGCGGAATGGAAGCGTTCCTAGGTCCGGGAGGTTACCGAGGATAGGCCATGGGTAAGGGCCGGGGGGGAGGGAGCGACGGCGGCGGAGGAAGGAGAGCCAGGAAGTGGAAACGAGAACCGCGACTGCTGCGATAAAGGCTGCGACGAGGCCTGACGCTGCGCGGAAGTCTCCGCCTGATGCCGTCGCGTTGGGAAAAAGGTGCTGGGCGGTGTTGATCCCGCTGGCGAACCAGCCCGTCCCAGGAAACGAATTCCCAGCAGCCATGGTGACCGAGGATTTCTGGCAACAAGCGTTCTGGAAACGCAGAAAGGGCGAAAGCTGGAGATTATCAGCAGAACCTCCCAGTACGTGCGGAGGCGGGAAGGGAATGCTGAGATTACGGAGAGGAAACAAGCTTGTTGTAACTCCGTTTCTTGCGGAGGAACTGTAGTGTTGTAACTCCGTTTCTTCTCAAAACCCTACTCAAACGTAGAGAATTGAAAACAAGCCGCTCTAACACATACAGAAACGCACTTCACCGCAATAAAGCGAGCTCGCGTGAGCAAGCTAGGACTGTGGGATGGGAAGACAGATTCGCCGGGACTCATGCGCGCACATTTTATGCGGTTCCCTGAAGCGTTTTGATTCGCTAGCGCGGCTGCCTGCAGGTTCAAGATTGGGCGATACCAGATGGCAACCTGCAGCGATCACTTGACCGTTTTCGCACGCAATGAAGAGGCGACCGGTTTCGCACGCAAGGCCGTTTCGTTCGCAAGCAAGCCTGGCTAGGCGACAAAACGAACGCAATCGTTACAGGTGAGCGAAAACTTGCGGAAGCTCTTGGGTGTGTCGTGATTCGTGAAGTTATGTGTCCGTTTTGGCCGACCTCAAGTACAGTAGTATCTACAGCCCATATACACATCAGCTGCACGTGTGCTTCAACATCATATTCAGCAGCGAGAAAAATGGATTATACGGTACGGTACTATGAAAAACAGCAACGAGCATCCAGCACAATTCA